AAAGCTTTCTTTGATTTCTACTGTTTCATGTCTGGGTGCTCACCGTGTCACCATGCAGAGTGTGTATCGCCTTTTGTTATGTTCGCTGTTTTTTCTTGTGTAGTGCTGCTTAGGTGGGACACGGTGAGCGTCCCTTATGCCAATAAAATATTTTGTACTGAAACTTGAGTGTCATAAATGAAGACAAATGTGGTAGCTTGTTTGTTTGTAAACAGTCAGCGTGTACAGTGGGACAGTAGTTTTTGTTAGTGGATTATCCCTTGTGAAAGCTTTGTCTCCCAATATCTATGATATCAGTGGTTAATAAGTTTGGACATTCTTAGTGTATGTTTTTAATAATGCAGCAAATCTGATTTTTCAGATAGAATTGGATTGAAAATGGCTGAGTGGTGGCCATTTTATTTTAACAAATGCAATTCCAAAGTCATATATTTGACATGCTCCAAGTGATTACATTCAACCTTCACACATACATCAGACATTTCCTATCATACATAAGCACATGCATTTGTGTTATGATCCAATTCAAGATGGCTGAATTGCAGCCTTTTTAGTGTTAAAAATTCATCAAAATCAGGTATTTCTGCCATTCCAGAACTGGATCTTGGTCGGGCATAACCTCATTCCTTCAAATTTGATATGTCCATTAAACATAATAGGTTCTTGAGTCACATAATCTGTTTTCCTAGATTTGATTCAAAATGGCTGACTGATGCCCATTTTGTTTTTAACAAATGCTGTTTTTGGAGACATATTGCTAACATGACTGGGCTAATCATGTTCAAACTTTACACATACATCATGTAACACATTTACACATGCATCTGCTTCAGAATCTGATTTAAGATGGCTGATCACTATTTTCGTCCAAGGAAAGCATTATGAATGTAGCAGACAGAATTTGGTACTTTAAAAGCTATTAATTCCTGGACTACTAGTAATTCATGCACCAGAAAATATTTATAAATATATAAAGTTTTAGAAAATATATTAAACATATTCTATCCGCTGTGTTCAAAAAATATTTAATTTTATATCTTTTTAATTTCGTGCTGTAACATTTTATCCAAAACATAGCACGAAAATCATTATTGTCAGATAAATATGATACATTCACTGGATTTTATTGTTGTTGATTTTACCCCATAATGAAATGTAAATTCCAAGTGTTCATATTTTGGCAATTAACAATTAGGTGCTAGACCAAAAACAAACGACTCACAAACATGCATGATGTATACAAGTCAAATTATTTTGCAATGTGAACAAAGAGTAAACGGATAATTTTTTTGTTTTGTTATTTTCTAGTTTGAACGGTGTGCTTATTGCATATGAAAATATTCAATTATTTGAAGCCAGTTGTGAAATAGTAGATGATCAGCCGTGTATCCACTTTGATGTACAGCTTGATACTATTGTTTTTCAACCAAGCGTAGGCAGCAAATTGAAGGTATGTACTGTGTGTGATGTGAGTCTGTAATCCAATGTGTGTAAGAG